TCATCCATCTTGTGACGTGTCAATGAGAGTGTGTATTTGTATTAGGGGGTATCAATATAACCAAATCCACCATTAATTAATTGACTGGTTGAAGAATCCACCCTTTTCTAAACATGTTGGTTATCCATTTAACCCCTTTTGGGGCCCATTTATGCAAAAAAAAGTTTTTGGAAAAGCGACTGGTTTCTGATGGTGGATTTCCTATATTTGATACCCCCTATATTGTATCCATTGATGGATACAATACACCAATCTTGTACCAGTTTACCCAATACCTCCTTTTCTCATATTGGGTCTTGTATTGTGTGGCGATACAATCCCAGCACATGTTTTCAGGGTTTGGGTTGAGATTGTCATATTTCATTTCCAGGCAGTAATTATTTGATAATTAATGGAAAACAGACTAAGCAGAGAGATTGAGTGGTATCATATTTGTTTCACCCTTGCTGTCAGTGTCAGCATACCTGAAATTCAAATTAGAAGGGTTTATGATTGAACTTTGGAGCCATTTTTAAGGTGTTTCAACTTTCTGATCAAATATATATATATATATATTTTGGGATGTGAAGAAAGTTCAGAAACCACAACATCTGAAAAACTCAAAAAAAAAATATAAAATGTTGCACACAAACACCCTAAAAATGGCTCTAAAGTTCAATTGTGAACCCCCCTATTGACAGGTTCTATAAAAAATTAAAGATTATGTCAATAAGTAAGATATCATTCAAGTCATTTTGGTCACCATAAAAACCACCTTTTAAGGTTCCTGGGCATGAGCTTCTAAATCAAACAAGAGTCATTCTTCTATATATAATTCCAGTGTAATTAGCAAATTACATAATGGAAAGGGGGGTTTGTAACTTTGTATATGTAGTTTTTATGTTTTACTCCATTTTCTATTTATTTCTTACTCCTTTTTTGCTTCTCACACATGTGGGAAACTGTGTTAAAGATAGGTGATAAGGTAGGCTGAACATAAAAACTGTAAGGATTGAGTGACTCAGCAAACTATTTGAATATTAGAACTTGCATGATTGGATTTGATCACATTAGAAAGGATTTGTTGATAGGAAGGATCAAAAGGAGCTAGAGATTGCAAGTGGAGAAAAACAAGAAATCTGAAATGAAGAGAGATCATCAAGCTTATGACTTCTTTTAGCACATAATTATCCAATCTCATGATCTTAGTGAGCTCCTTGGGACTCCATTGTCCTACCACCTAAACCTGGATTAGAGGCTTTTGCTTCATGAGCATCTCTTTCTTTTCTATGACGTGCTCTGATTGTTCCCCCATTTGTGGTGAGGCCTGTATCTGTGATTGTCACGAGATATTGAAGTGATGAATCTGTGACATTTGTCAAGCACTGCCGACATCTCTCTGACTAAGGCTTACCTAATCAACCAGTTTCAGGACACGGTTTTTACCATTTTGGGCATTCACCACCCGCAAGTCCATACTTAAGCTGAGACATCACCACCTTGGCAAAAACCAACAAACACAGCACAACATCCACCACCCAACAAGAACAACACCCATCTCAGATAAATCAGAACAAGCTCGACTACTTATCAAACCGTCCAGCTACCAGCCAACCACTCAGATCACCATCATCATCCAATCGATTCAACTCGCTTCGACTCTGCTGACAATCGGCCTTTCCCCCAGATATAATCACTAGCAAATCAGATCGATAACCTCATCCTAGACCAACCTATTCGATCCGTTCATCATGACCATCTCATTCTCAGTCACACCCAAAGCTCGGATCGTACCCAGTCTTCCATCGACTCGAATACTCATCTACACCTTCCTATTCACCCAGCTCTGTACTTCCGTACGCTCCTCGTCGTGTTACTACGACAGCTTCACCGGTAGGACCGTCTGTGATGGTCTCTCTTATGGTGCCCGGCTCGCAATCGCCGCTGCTATCACCGTCGTTGGCGCCCTCGTTTGACAGAGATCTCCTATGTCGTCCGCAAGCGCTTCTACGGCGCCCAGAACACCTCCTCCTGTCTCAGCCGTTAGTAAAACTCAACTATCATCAATCCTCGGGACTCTCCTTCACTAACTTACTCCATCCTCTCTCTCTCTCATATGTATATATACAGGGTTACTACGGTCCACCCCAGACTTCTTATCCTCCCAATGTAGCCTACGCCCAACAGCCCAATCTATATCCCGGTGCACCTCCACCCGCGCCCGCTTATGCTCCCCCTCCTGGGCCACCCCCACCTGGCTACAACCCTGACTTTTATAAACAAGGCCCCCCACCGGTACCCCAGCATCCATGAACGGGTTCCTCAAAAACACTTTGACTGACATTCTGTAACTCTGCTACGCTGTAATCTTACATGTCTGCCCCTTGTGCCCTGGTTCTTTCCCTTCCCACCCCCCACCCTTCTTTTCTTTCCTCTCTATATCCAACAAAACAAAATTGCTTCACATCCTATCCCGCCCTTTATCATCTAAATATTTTTATTCTTATCATATGGAACTTTTTTTTTTCCTCTTCTCTCCCATGACTCCACACCCAAAATTGTTGATTATTCTTCTGTCTCACTGCATCTGATTATCTCTTCATCCATCTGTTGAGCTCTGCAAACTATGAAGAGTGGCTGCTATCGCGCTGATTTCAATTACCGCTGGGGTAAACAACGTATACCCCGGGAGCATACTAAGGAACACAGCAAAGACCAGACGTCACCCTACAATTGCCTTTTCAGACATCTGGACGTAGTAAGAAGCCAGCTTAGAAAGTAACAAAGTTTTAAAGGATTTACCACCAGCAAAGTTTTAAAGGATTTACCACCAGCTAAAATACCCTTTTGCTTAACATGAAGGAAGCCATCACGTCTCTTGTGCAGTTAAGGGCCAACCGGCTGTCTACTCAACAGACACAGCTTTATGAGAAATGCCTAGGTTCAATACTTCCAGGGTCCTTTTGGGCAGATCTTTTCCCTTTTTGTCTTCCTCTTGTTCCTCATTATGCATCTTGTGTACTTGTTTGATTTCTTTGTACGACTGAAACCCGAAAACGTGGTAGACATTCAGGCGGTGCACAAATGTCTTATTGAGCTGACGATGGTGCAACGTGCTGTTGGGCGGCACTTATGTCCCGCTTAGGCATCACACCATCTCAGGTAAGAGCCCAAGAGTGGCCCAAACATAAAATCCAGGAGGACTAATAGATCCTGATAGATGAATCTTCCATACTCCCACTTTGAAGCGATAGTCCGAAACCGCATGAGTCGCTCAGACTCTCCACTCCATCATGCAGATATTACGGAATGTTTTATTCGCGGCGGTGTGAAACTAGCTGGAATTATGGCTGTTTGATGGTATGTAAGGTTTTCTTTTGTAGGGCATTTTGATAGGATTAAGTACACTTCCATTTTACATCTCTAAACGAGGAATAAACCTGGCTTTGTTCAAGAAGAAGGTTGAAGTCCAACTAATTTGCGTGATATGTATGGTCCCTCTTTGTTATAATCAGGCTAAGGAGAGAGACGTTCGATCAAGAAAAAAAAATTAACATCCGCCCTTTCTGAGGAAAATGGATTTCATTCGACTTAAAAACAGCAAGAAAACCCAAACACATTACCTTTGACATCCAAAGCTTAGTAGAACTAGCATCGTTAAAGACCAATTTGGCGACAATACATCCACCCAGGAAGCCTAGATATTCCGGCTTCCCTTTGAATTCAGAAAAATATTCGGGTACTTTTAATGGCTTGAATATCCCATCAACTTGGGCACCGGATTGTGAAAGTGAATTCAATCCGGAATTCCTTGACTGAAGCTCGGCCGAAATCGCAATTCCAAGACCTAAGTGAGGGTATTTGATGAGCATTTGTTCAGAAATTTTAGAAAGGTTTATAGAGCTTACCTTCGGTACGACAGATCAACCCACTTCCATCAGTCAGCACGAATTGGCCAACCACATCTTTCCGCTGCTCTAAACTGATGAGTTTGCTTATCCCACAATTGATAGACTCGACCAAAGTATCATCTTCAGATATCAGTTCTGAGGTATACCTCGCTGCGTATTTTTCTAGACCAAACCTTGAAAACACTGGGCCTATCGACCTCAGTAGTCCTGGCGCAAACAGAGGTTCGGCATGTCGATGTCTGGTCTTAGAAACTCGGATGCCTGTCTGTTCGCGAGGGAGTGAGAGAGATTCGGTGGAGACTGGGATAGCTTGAGATGGTTGACAATCTAGTAAGGGGCTAGGTGGCACACTAGGGTTGAGGGGTTGTTGAGAGTTGGAGGAATTGGAAACAATGATCGTGTCCGTCTCCTTTTGTATCTCCGCTAGAAGTTTACCCGTCTGTGTCGGCCGACGAGCACCTTGTGAAGAATTGTTTGATGTCTGCCTTCCAATGATCTTGTCCGCCTTACCACTGACAATTGCTTGTGCCACATCAGTGATTCCGGTCTCTTCCTCCTCTTGACTTTGTAGATCTGCAGTGTTCAATGCGAGCGTGTTGAGCTGGGGTTCGAAGCGAATATGACCATCGGCTTTGAGATTCGAAACGAAAGCTAGTAACGCGTGATAGAGTGACTCTGCTCGGTTGGTTGTCTCCCAGCCTAGTTGGGTGGGCAGCTCGGGGTTTTCATTCAAGAGTAGACTGATCAGATAGTCATCACAATCCTGTTCGCCGATCGGATAGAAATGACAAGATTGATCTAGGACGATAGAATCGCTAACAAAGCCGATCAGGGTGGATCGAGCACCAATATCGATGGTGATCCCACTGGTAGAATTACAGGCTAAGATTTGAAGTAGAGGAGATTCGCCGAGAAAGAGGGCGGGTGCTTGTAAGTTTTCGAAAAACAACTGTGTGAATTTATCTCGGATTGAGTTGGGTAGGTTGGGAGGTATTGAGAGTAGGATATGCTGGGCGACGGGTGGCTTGGAGAGTTTTAGACGATTAAAGAGCAAATAGCGGCTAGATCGAAGGACAAGGGTTGGATAGAAATGATTGAATGAGTCGATTCTAGAAAGTGACTGATTACGGGGATACAGAAAGATCAAAACAACTGACAAAAGCGCGTCGAGTGCCTTCCAATCGGTTACGAGTGAGCCCGATTGGGAGAGTTGAGGACCATGATGAGAATGGGTTTTGAAGATCTGGATTGGAAGCAGATCAGGATGTGATTCGAATGAGTAATCAGACCACTTCCTGGGTAGGTTAGATTGAGCAAGTTCAGGTTTGATGTAGGCTATCGTCGGAAGGGTGATCGAAGGGGTTGAGATGACTTCAGGAGAAACGCCCAATCCAACTTGAACTGAATGAGCGTGTGTGGAGAGAGAGACGATGAGCAGATTAGCATCTCTGAATGCAGCCTGGATGGAGGAAGAAGATGGAGTAGGATGGCTTCAGTACTCTTGTGTTGGAAGGCGTTGTTAGACTGACTGGGAACTACTGACCATTTGGTTGGTTTAAGTGTCTGTTGCTTTCATCGGGTCTTCCTTCGCCAATGGAGCATTGGGGGGTCATGACAGCTGGGCCGGGTTTCAGTCTGAGCCCGGCCGGCTTTCGGGCGGGCGGGCATGTTGCAGCAGTCACTCCGTCTCACTTCACTTCTCATCTATGAGAAGTGTGGAATTGCCAAAAGCTTTGATCATCATAATATTTGTAGCTCAAAAAAAAAGAGATTTGATCTATTCTCAGAATACATGGACAGGCCTAAATGTGACTGCTTTCATGGGTGTAAGAGCCCACTTAAGAAATAAACAATATCAGTTGATAAATTTGACCCAGCTTGCATCTCCAATGGTACTCTGAGTGATTTCCCTCAGCTTTCATTGATGTGTGATCATCTCATAGAAGTATCTTTATCGAAGTTCTACAACAAACAGAAAAATGTCACAGCTGTTTCAGCTTCAAATTCCATCACTCAATTCCTCTCAACACGGAAACCATACTGTTACGCTGACATATAGCTTACAATATATATATAAAGGCAAATTTAGGATGTACAGTTGTGGGAGGCATTGGAGAGCACAACATTTTGGGTCAAGAAATCTGAATGGCTCATGATGGCTTGGTCAAATGTAAAGACTCCAGATCAGCTATCATGTGCATTCCTAGGACCTAATCTGCAGACCCCTATAAAACTGAATGAAATCAAGATCAACCTGAGAATCATTTTCATGAGAATTAACTCAAGTACTGCAATTATGTTATGTTTTCTCATTAACACTGTGAATGTTTCATGAAGATTTTTGATTGCTTCCAGCCAAAGCTGATGATGCATCTACCCTGCCATTCACAAGTTACAACCTCTTGAATACCTGTAAGAAATTTCAATTCTTTTCTAAAAAAAAAAATCTCAAAGACCACAGGCCACCATAAAAAAAGTGAGGGCACCGGATTAAAGTTAACACACAGGCTACTCCTGTCTAACTCAAATTATTACTTCAAATTATGTCAAAGTCATTTCTTCTGAAGAGTCACCGGGGAAAGTGCACAGTGACTGTGAATCAATGTTCAGTTGAAATAAGCTCTTAGCAAGATGAGTAAAAACAAACGTAGTATGCAAGTTGCTACATGTCAACTGCCATCAGGCAACGCTGTCACAGATACAGTATCTGCCATGTATCTGCCATGTATCACTATGTATCTGAGCCCCAATAAAAAACCTATCTGACCAATCTGCTTTTATTTGCAAGGAGATTCAACAAATTTGGTTTTTGGCCATGCAACTTTGCAGAATTCTCCATGATACATACAGTGTATCGTATCTGTGACAGCGTTGCATCAGGTGTCCTCAATTTTCTTGTGGTGGGCTATAATTGTTTTGGATTTACAGAAGTATTCAAGCTCAACAAAATATTACAAAACTAGCTATGGCACCACATTTTTTATTCACCACAACAAAGACTCAAGACACTGCTACCAGTTAGCATCTGGAAACTCAAGGAAGCTTGTGTTGGATTCAAATATTTCTGGAACTGTACACATTCCAGTGATTGACTGTGCAGAAAATGTTAATTTGGAACAATTTGGAGCTCAAAACAGATGTTAGATTGGTGTATCTCATTGCAAGCATTTTCTTCAGTTTTCTTGTAGTTATCATGTGTCTATAGGCATGTGTATGTGATGGGGTTATTTAAAATTTCTCAAAGAGTATGCAGAATCATACAAGATATGTATTATGCATTTGGATTCTTCGATTGAACCTACATGGTTATGTATGAAGCATGGCAAGAGATTTCAATTTTACTAATTCAGCCAGAAGTCTTGTAGTATAGTTTTTACAGCCAATTTTAAGGTCCCCATCAACACAATTTTAGAATTTTGACAAAACGTACAGATTTTGGCATTTCTGAACAATCAAATCAACATTTTCATTTTTCAAAAAGTTGTCAGTAAACACCTTAAAATGGGCTTTAGAAATTTGGTAACTTCCTATTGTGAACCCCCCTAATATGTGTGTGCAACCCAGGGTGTACTTATCCCTTTTTTCACAGAATCTTCAGAACAGTGGTGGACAGATTCCATTCAATCAGAAAATCACAGGGGTAAAAATACAAAACCACAGAAGAAAACATCAAAAGTGAATAAAGGTTCATTTTTGTAAAAAATAAGTGGAAAAATCTTTTTAATTTTGAAGGCCCCTAAGGGGGCTTTAAATAATCTGCTTGGGGAAACATATCTATTGAAACATTCTGTCAATAGAAAATCTCAGCAATTCAACTCACACAAATACCAACATAATTTCCTAGTCATTTTGGACATCCCTTTGACTGAATGGCCTACTCAACCAACTTATCACTACTTTAATGCAGTTTGATAGGGATTAAACCACCCCAGACAACAATGAAAGCAAATTTTTTGGATTGTGATACAATGAACAGATATCATGTTAATTATTCACTGAACAATCCAATTAAAATAACAGGGATGTTTCTCTTTTTTACTCTTGTAGGTTGATATAAAACATTTTACATTTATCAATTGTATTTTTCAACCACTGATTATGTGACAAAATAAGTGAGTTGAGTCACTATTTGATACAGATAACCAAAATTCCCACAGAATCAATTATTGAAGATCTAATACTTGTTGATTTTTTGCAAGGATGTGATCACAGAAAATCCCTGCTAATTAGTCTTGCCCTTTGTTTGAACTTTTGGGGTCATAATTACCAGTTGTGAAAAATTGATGGATTCATGGATATAAGAGCATCTTTACCTGTTGAGATAAAAGCAAGCAATCTAAGCTCACAGCTATTGCTAAGCTACAATGGCGACAACAATTAAGTCACACCGGTGTGGCTTGAGGTTAAAGTTGTGATGGATGGTTTGAAGTCGAGGTGTGTAATATTTGCAGGAGGGCACCAAATTGGAGCACATGCATGGGTGTTTGCTTTTGGCTAGCTTGCGAGCTAGCCAATGCTAGATCTAGCAACGGTTAGCTTGAATTGGAGCCATGAGCTAGTTTGACTTGAATTTAGCTCAGCCTGGTGTGGTTGAATTTTGCGGCTCAAGTCCTTAGCTTGTGTGGAATTAGCCACCGATACTATGTAGTGTTCTAAACGGTACAGGACCCCTCAAGGTCAAATTTCAACTTTCAAATTTCAAGTTATCAATATCCTCAAGCCTCAAGATTTCAACAATATCACCTCAAATCCCCTCTCAGTCCAACAGTTTCCTTCATTATATTATTTTACTATGTTTTTGTTTCATATTATTATGTTACTTCCTCTGATTATTTTATCTTCATATTATTTTTCATTCATCTTCATTTTATTTTTATTTTATCATTTTATCTTTCTTTATTATATTTTTCAAATCACCTACTCAGCAGACAGTCTTGTTTAATTTTCTTGGTCCTAAGACATCTTAGTATGTTGGTTTATTTCACTCTTGATTATTTTTTTTTGTTCTGTCTTGTTTTGTTCTGTTCTGTGTTGTGTTGTGTGTGTTGTGTTGTGTTGTGTTGTGTTGTGTTGTGTTGTGTTGTGTTGTGTTCGGTTGTGTTGTGTTGTGTTGTGTTGTGTTGTGTTGTGTTGTGTTGTGTTGTGTTGTGTTGTGTTGTGCTGTGTTGTGCTGTGTTGTGTTGTGTTGTGTTGTGTTGTGTTGTGTTGTGTTGTGTTGTGTTGTGTTGTGTTGTGTTGTGTTGTGTTCGGGGAAGCATGGCACTCTGATCTGATCCAAGATAGACCCATCAAATCTTATTGATTCATCTGATCCTCATATTCACCTTCAAAGATCCTCAACCTCAACAACCGCCGCAGAACTCAATTTCTGTTGTCTCCTCCCAGAAAACCTGTTGTGTTGTGTTGTGTTCGGGGAAGCATGGCACTCTGATCTGATCCAAGATAGACCCATCAAATCTTATTGATTCATCTGATCCTCATATTCACCTTCAAAGATCCTCAACCTCAACAACCGCCGCAGAACTCAATTTCTGTTGTCTCCTCCCAGAAAACCAACCAACCCCAACACGTTTTGTTCAGATCACAGCTCAATTTATCCGGACCCCACTTGAAGGCAGCCCTCAAAGCACTATCCCTTCAACCAGCTGCCTACCTGTTATGAGCTGTGGAGGACTGGAACCGGGGATGTTACATATATAGAGAGCCTGTTATGTACATGTCACAAACTTCAAACTTGGAGTTTGTTTGAGATCCTCACCTTGCACATCCCTCACCTTGCGATCTACCATCAAGACTCAGAACCTTTAAGATCCCTCACCTGCTCTCCCCAGAACACCCATAACACTACCGCCTGGCACAATAGGAGTTCCACAATGGATGCTCTAATATCTGCCCATCACCTTGAACAAGGATTGGTCAAGTGAAAACCACTTAAAGAGGCATCCAAAAATACCAGGAAATATGCTGGAATCACATTATATGAGAATCAACCAGCCACCCAATCATTTACATTGTACTCCCCACCTTCCAACTGAATAAACCAGAGGATCCAAAATACACTGTATGATTATTGATCTTTATTTGATAAACATTCTTTTAAAACTAAGGCCCACTTTTGAAAACATTGCCATACATCATAAATTGAAAATTTTAGCAAAGGATCATGATACATATAGTTATATCAATACATATGTCATGCAATCTAGTGCTGAACTTGAAATTTTATAACATTTGACATGGTGTCCAAACAGGGCCCATATATAAATTTGAGGTATGTTGCCTGAAAAGAACAACTCCTGAATTCCTGCTTGTTATATCACATTAGTAAAACCCAAAGGTCCTTCATAAAAAACCAGTTTGTGGATCAATCATCAAGAAAAATAACATTCCCACCTTCAATGACCAGTCTGGATGCTGATTTTTGAGAAAGAATTACTGCCAAAACTGGGATGCAAACAACCAAGGTTAAGATGTGACCAATTTTGACTTGGTTAAGTGAATTCCAGATCAACTGGGATACCCTCAACCCAGCAAATTATGCTGGCAGTGAATTCTTTATTCCTCTACGATTGGT